CTCTTCTTTCTTTTCTTTCCTTCCTCTCTCTCTCTCTCTCTCTCTCTCTCCCCCTCCCCCTCTTTCTCTTTCTACAATCGCTTCTACTCTCCTCGTTCTCTTTTTTCTTTTTCTTACGCGCCTCTCCGCTCCCGCGTATTTCATACTCCAGGACCAGGAAAGACTCGGCAGGTAAGGAGTGACAAAAAACGGTAGAGCCGAGGTAGAGCCTCTTATCCAGAAGATTTCCTCGCGGACGTGTTTCCGGCAGGCGGGCTGCAATAAATTCAGTCGCGCCGGCTACTCGGTTGCAAAAGGGGAGATTATTACGGGGACGATGACGAGGTCGAAAAAATTTCATTAAAGCGCTGCCGGTGAAAAAAAGCTTTTTCAGCGCGCTCGAAAGTAGCCGGTAGCCAGAATCACGGAGGAACAGTTCCGCAATTCGCCGTCGTCCGCGCATCGAATTACGGATCCCCCGCCTCCCTCCTTCGGTATACCCTTCGCACGCCACCGATCGCAATTAATAGTTTTTAGCGAGGTTTGCGAAACTGGATTTACACCAGCTTTTAAAGCGCCTCGTGTGTTCTTTCGCGAATATTTTCACTCGCATAAACGTAATTGAATTAATGAGTATAAAGACGCTCTACGTGGATTGAAAATAAAAATTTATACCCGCTGCGCCCATCCTCTTTTATGTCTGATAGTTATTTTTCCAATTTTCTCACCAATCGATATTCACATTTCGTCCGAGGATTATTAGAGAGACGAGGAAAAAAAAAAAAAAAAAATGCGCCACTATACCGCCGCGTGTTTATTTCGACGCCTCCGCCGAGGTTCTTTATCGTTCGGGAAATTTCATTAGGGCGATAAAATTCATCCTCCTTTCCGCCGGCCGTGTCTACGCTCGCTTTTATCTCGAGGAAAAGGCGGAGGAGAGGCGTGCGCGCGCACGTCGTTAATGCCGCGCGGCATTTAATTGAATCGCGCCGAGAATCGTCCTCTTTTTAATGCGCCGCGTCGATTTTTCGGCGAGACGGATTTCCCACTGGCGTGACCGTCCCGTGAAATTACTCATCGGAAGAAGAGACAAAAAAAAGACGATTAACCACCGGCATATCTCATTGCAATCCCACGGTGCTGTTTCCGCCAGCCGTGCACGCACAGATGCTTCCAGAGACGGGATGAGACATTTTTCTCGTTATTGCGTTACGACATTGGTAGATCGCTACTTATCGCGAAGTTTCGTTGAATGTTCTATTTTAACATTTATGTTATAAATGAAATTATAATGTATACAGAAATCGTAAAGATCTACATATTTCAAAGTGCCAACCAAATCTCGTATTTTCATAATTTTTAGAATTTTTTACATCACCAATTATTAGCAAATATTTTTTCACGTGTAATTTTATTCGTTTAGAATCTTTAAAAGTATCACATAATATTCGCGTGACATGAAAATATCATCCGGTTTAGCAGAATAGCGCTATAGTTCGTTTCTTGAGTGTCCAATTGTCCGTTTGCATTAAGTATCACTGAAAGACTGTGCATTTGCGTATCGCGCGATCGATCGACGATCGTTCAGTGCTCCGAAAACTATGCCGTGGTTAGGTCTCTGCGGTCGGGTATCGATCGCACTTTACCGTTTTCGCAGCAGGTAGACCTGTCTCGCTATTTTCCGCCGCTATACGCCTACGGAACGGAGAGACAGCACGTGCGAACCATCGGTTCTTCTCGGCCATTACTTTTTTAGGGAAATAGCGATACCACCGTAGAATGATAAATTACAAGCTCCATTAAAGTGTCACATTTCGTTCGTTATTGTTTTCCATATCCCCAGAGTCGAAATAAAACTTCTTTACGTCTCAGTTTACCGTAATCCTTTGTTGTGAGGATCGGAGCAAAATACTTTGTGCCGGTCGATTTTCATTACTCTAAACCAACTATTAGTCTTGTTCCCGCACGGTTCGACATCAATAATCCGCTTGTGAAAAGACCAAACGAACAAAAGGTGGCACATTTTGGGAGCCATGTGGCCAACGTGGTCGAAGCTACCTGCCACTCACCGGGACGCTCACGCAGCTACCCTAAGAAAAGGAGATCGTCCATGGTTTTTCTCGCGGATCAGACCGTAGCAGTAAATAGATACGAGTCGATGGCTCAGAAGTAAAGCCAATAAGCTCGGGTGGTGTGCGCGAGCGCGCGGGATAAAACGAGAAAAGAAGTGTACAGAAGATAGACATGGACGTGGTAGCTGCCACCCTCGCGGATAGGGAACTGCCCCTACGCCAGTAATATCGCCACCATAATCGCAATTCCGACGGCGTAGCCCCGGATAGAGGGAGGTTAGCGAGAGTCTGTAGGAAGAGACTCGGACGAGGGACGCGAGGGCAGGCGCGCGTTACGAACTTTTAGTCCGAGGGGTTCCGCGGATCTTAATATATATTGAGCTCTCTCTCCCGTGTCGGGAGGAGGGTTAACCCTCGCCCTTGGGGTGAGGCTGCATCGGCAGGCACGTAGGGGCTCTCTCCTCCGTCGTGCTACGTGCACTCCGACACTATGGACCGCTCTCACTGGACGGACACGTACCGCGTCGAGACGCGATCGAACTTTCTCCCCGTTCTTCTTACCGTCACTTGGCCGACACCTCGAGAGAACCGGCGCTAATTGCGTTCATGATGAAATTACGAGGAATGAAAGATCGCTGCTATTGGACTTTTAGCTTTGCTATATTTTATATTATTTCTTAAGATTAAAAATGTTGGAAGTATCTATGCTACATACGTGAGAAATGAATTTCTTTTAATCTTATTTTTCGCAAGTGTTCGGAATTTGCGTAATGTGGACAACGTCTTTGTTAAAATTCTAACAAAAGATTATTAGAGTTTAGTGTTTGAAGATTACTAACATTAAAGCATTATTAAAAGTATTACATATGTGAGAAATAAATTTATTTTAATCCATCTTTATTTCTTTCTCAAGTATTCAAATTTATTTGCATATATAGCGTGAACAAGCGCCATTGTTAGAGTTTTAAGGGCATGAGTACCAATTTTGGTGGATCAGAGTATATAGAAGCAAATTTAATAGCGAGAGCCCCTGTCATTATCCTCTCGTAGGAAGTTCATTAACTCGAGCATGTCCGACTCGCGAAATGATCGCCGTTTTAAATACAATGGTATAGAGATCGTCCGCGACAATACAGCGTCCGGATGAGGGTAGTCCGTCCGTTACGGGCGAACAAGTGCACATATGTGTATCCCCGGGTAGGGTGTGTGGCCATCCCTCGGACGCGGCATAGGCAGGGATGGTCGCGCCACGCGCCAATCGAAAACTTTATGTAACCGTTTATTCTGCGCACCCCGAAAACCGATATAACCGTATTTCAGGACGAAAGATTGGCAGGAAGACCGTTTAAGGAGTATTTCCACCGCACGTTTTTCGGCACTTAACCGAAATATCTCATTTTCCCTCTCTTATATATGCGTTTACGGAAATACGCGTATATAGATGCGTACGAGGGGAGAAAGAATCGTTGTGCGAAATAAGAAGCCCGAGAAGGGAGAAGGTGTCGGGTGAGAATTTATTTCTGGATTATTCCGAAGCCGGGGAAACGCTCCAGGGTGGGGATCTTCCTTCCAGAAAAGGACAAATCGTTCTCCGCCGCAGGATCGAAACGCCGCTGCTGGGAGAAGCAATTTCCAGGCGCGAGATTTACGACGCGAAGATCGACTCCTCGAGCGGGGGATCGCGAAATTCGGCTACGCCGATATCCGACGCCCGATGTTTCTATTTTGCCGCGCGCGCGAGGCGAAATTGTATCGGCAGGATGGTAACGGTGTCTACACGGATGCATTCGCGCGAGAAAAAAAGATTTCGTTCTTGTTAACGAAAAATCATTATCTTGCTAACATGAACGATGATCGAAGAAGACATAATCGGCCAGCGATAATTCCTGATTTATGATAACCGGCGCTGAGATATGATTTCTGAGAATTTGTGATCATTCATCACAGAGCGGTATTAAGACACGGATGTTTACAGGAAGAATCCGCTTCACATAAGATTATAATATATTTAACGATCACACGTTATGTCAGTCTCGTTAAGTTTCACCGACGTGTCAGAAGGATATCTTTTTAGGATTCATGATTATTTTAGAGAAACGAGTTTTCGAGCCGTGCCACCTTTTTTTTTCCGTCGAATCCGCCGTCGATGGACCTTGCTACTTGTCGGACGACCGATGACGGCTCGTCTGTCTTGCGATAACCACCCATCTGTAATGAGCTTAACCGTCGTCGTAATATTTCGAGTTAGCGCTGCGCACGTCATCGGCGTGTCGCGTGTCAGAAGGGCTGAACGCCCCTGACGAGACAGCGCGCGTCATGCGGTAACGAGAAG